ATTCAGGGACTCACGCTCTTTCTGTTTTGTTACTCCACTATTCCCTAGGACCTCAGAATCCTCTGCTTCAAGCAGGGGAAAGAAAGATAGAGAAAGCACCCATTTATAATGTCCTTGACCCAGAAGTGACATGCATTACCTCCAAACACATTCTGATGGTAAGAGCTACTCACATGGCTCTACCCAAGGTGCAAAGGTGTTTGAGAAATGGAACTCCTGAATGAATAGCCACTTCCTAGGGTCATCTCAATACTGTGGAAGGGGACACATTAATTTTTGGTGGTAGCTACCTGTATTAGGCCATGTTTGTATTGCTATAGAGAAACACCTGAGACTGGGTAATCTATAAGAAAAGAGATTTAATTGGCTTACAGTTCTGCAGGCTATATAGGAAGCATAGCACTGGCATCTGCTTCTCATGAAGCCTTAGGAAGCTTACAATCATGGCAGAAGATGAAGGGAGCAGGCATCTCACATGGCAGGAGCAGGAGCAAGAGAGGGCAAGGGAGGTGCCACACACTTTTAAACAACCAGATCTTGTGAGAACTCACTCACTATGGCAAGAACAGCACCAAGAGGATGGCACTAAGCCATTCATGAGAAACTCACTCCCATGATCCAATCACCTCCTAAAGGCCCTACCTCCAATACTGGGGATTACAATTCAACATGAAATTTGGGTGAGGACAAACATACAAACTATATCACTACCTATCTCTGCCACGCCATGATGTACCACCAGCATGTAGCATAGTAGCACTTAATAAATATTCATAGAATGCATGAATAAAAAGGAATGAATGCAATTGTTTGAAGTAGTTTGTGATTTGTATTATAACAATTTCACATCTGGTATACAGAATTTGGAGAAGCAGCAGGTTTATTAGGTTGTAGATGTCCAATTTACATAGTATCAAAATAATCATCTGGAAGACACTGTGCATTGTCGGTTTCATATATCAAAATACACCAGGAGGGGCAACTTCACTCTTAAATCTCTGCTTCAGTCCTCCAGCTTGGATCGTTCCACTCATATATCAAAAGAAATGGAAGAAGCAACTATAGGGAATTATGCCTGAGACTCTTGCTTGAAATGTATCCTGCCCATTTCATACTGTATCGTAAGTTAATTGCCCAAAAGAGGCAAAAGATAGTGTAACATCAGAACAGATAAATAACCAATCAAAAGTGGGTTGAATTTGGGTTAACTGATCATTGGGTAAAGATCTTTGAGCAAACCAACCTGTTCCCATTGGATGACTTTATGTATCTATATGTAATATATAAATTATATATTAAATTTTATGTGTATTCACTTAACATTTTATGTATATTCATTTTTTATATATTCATGTATATTAATTTTATACTGGCCATATTAATTATTAGACATATGGAATTAGGCATATATAGAACACATCAGGAAACTTTTTGCCTCTTCCACATTATAGCTAAGATTTGATTATAAAATATAGAGTTTGATTATGTGACAAGTGAAATTCTGCTTGCACCAAATCCCTAAATGTTAGCCTTATAATGTATCTTTTTTTTTTTTTAAGAGACAAATTCTTGCTCTGTCGCTCAGGCTGGAGTGCACTGGTACAACCATAGCTCATTGCAGCCTCTCACTTCTGAGTTCAAGGGATCCTCCTGCCTCAGCCTACTGAGTGAGTAGCTGGGACTACAGGTGCACCCTACTACATCCAGCTAATTTTTAAATCTTTTGTAGGGATGGAGTCTATGTTGCCCAGGCTGGTCTTGAACTCTTGGCCTCAAGACATCCTCTCACCTCAAGTAATCCTCCCACCTTAGCCTCCCAAAATGCTGGCTTTATGGGCATAAGCCACCACACTGGCCTATTATGTATCTTTAAATATGTACCTTTACTGAGGAGTTAATCTGATAAGATTAACAAGGACTAAGAGATTTATTTATCTTTAATCTTTGGTGCAATACCTGGCGCATTTTAGAGTCTCTGGCCTCGTTTTCCTCATTGTTGTAACATTCCTCCAGTTCATCCAGCTCTGTTTTTCACAAAGTCTCTAACTGCTACCTGCTACAAGGTGCTTCATGTTCTCAGCAGTCTTAATCTGTGTGGCTAGCTAGGAGAGCCAGAGAAGCAGAGAATCTGTAAGCTGGAAAGGACTTCAGCTTCAATGGGATAAATCTGCTCTGTGATCTGATGAATGAATTCAAAATAAAGAGTTAGGGACTTCACAAACTGTCACTGTTTGCTGACGATACGATCGTTTACCTTGAAAACCCTAAAGACTCCTCCAGAAAGCTCCTAGAATTGATAAAAGAATTCAGCAAAGTTTCTGGATACAAAATTAATGTACACAAATCAGTAGCTCTTCTATACACCAACAGCAACCAAGCAGATAATCAAATCAATAACTCAACCCCTTTTATAATAGCTGCAAAGAATAAAATACTGAGGAATATACCTAACCAAGGAGTCAAAAGACCTCTACAAGGAAAACTACAAAACACTGCTGCTGAAAGAAATCATAGATGACACAAACAAATGGAAACACATCCCATGCTCATGGACAGATAGAATCAATATTGTGAAAATTAACATACTGCCAAAAGCAATCTACAAATTCAACACAGTCCCCATCAAAATACCACCATAATTCTTCACAGAATTAGAAAAAACAATTCTGAAATTCATATGGAAACAAAAAAGAACCTGCATAGCCAAAGCAAGACTAAGCAAAAAGAACAAATCTGGAGGCATCACACTACTTGATTTCAAACTATAGTATAAAGCCATAGTCACCAAAACAGCCTGGTACTGGTATAAAAATAGGCACATAGACCAGTGGAATAGAACAGAGAATCCAGAAATAAACCCAAATACTTACAGCCAACTGATCTTTGACAAAGTAAACATGAACATAAAGTGGGGGAAAGGACACCCTTTTCAACAGATGGTGCTGGGATAATTGGCTAGCCACATGTAGGAGAATGAAACTAGATCCTCATCTCTCACCTTATACAAAAATCAACTCAAGATGGATTAAAGACTTAAACCTAAGACCTGAAACTATAAAAATTCCAGAAGATAACATTGGAAAAACCCTCCTAGACATTGGCTTAGGCAAGGATTTTATGACCAAGAACCCCAAAGCAAATGCAATAAAAACAAAGATAATAGCTGGGACCTAATTAAACTAAAGAGCTTTTGCACGGCAAAGGGAACAGTCAGCAAAGTAAACAGACAACATACAGAGTGGGACAAAATCTTCACAATCTATACATCTGACATAGGACTAATATCTAGAATCTACTACAAACTCAAACAAATCAGTAAGAAAAAAACAATCCCATCAGAAAGTGGGCTAAAGACATGAATAGACAATTCTCAAAAGAAGATATACAAATGGCCAACAAACATATGAAAAAATGCTCAACATCACTAATGATCAGGGAACTGCAAATCAAAACCACAATGTGATACCACCTTACTCCTGCAAGAATGGCCATAATGAAAAAACCAACAGTAGATGTTGACAGAGATGCGGTGAACAGGGAACATTTCTACACTGCTAGTGGGAATGTAAACTAGTGCAGCCACTATGGAAAACAGTGTGGAGATTCCTTAAAGAACTAAAAGTAGAACTACCATTTGATCCAGCAATCCCACTACTGGGTTTCTACCCAGAGGAAAAGAAGTCATTATTTGGAAAAGATACTTGCACACACACGTTTATAGCAGCACAATTCACAATTGTAAAATCGTGGAACCAACCCAGAAGCCCATCAATCAATGAGTGGATAAAGAAACTGCATATATATACACATATATACACACACACACATATATATATGTATGTGTATATACACACACACACATATACACACACACACATAAAGAAACTGCAGTGTATATATATATATGTATACACACACACACACAATGGAATACTACACAGCCATAAAAAGGAAGGAATTAACAGCATTTGCAGTGACCTGGATGAGATTGGAGACTATTATTCTAAGTGAAGTGACTCAGGAATGGAAAACCAAATATCGTATGTTCTCACTGATATATGAGAGCTAAGTTATGAGGACACAAAGGCCTAAGAATGATACAATGGACTTTGGGGGTTTGGGAGGAAGAGTGGGAGGGGGTGAGGGATAAAAGACTACAAATATGGTGTAGTGTATACTGCACAGGTGATGGGTGCACTAAAATCTCACAAATTATCACTAAAGAACTTACTCATGTAACCAAATACCACCAGTACCCCAATAACTTATGGAAAAATAAAATAAAATAATAAATTTAAAAAAAGAACTTATTCATGTAACAAAATACTACTTGTTCCCCAATAACCTATGGAAATAAAAAGTTTTAAAAAATAATAAATAAATAAATAAAATAAAGAGTTAGGGACTTCAGAAGTTATTTGTAATAGAAAAACTTTAATTAAAAAAATCACCAGGGTGATATATCTGACACAAGGTAATGGATTAACGGTAAAAGTAAGGATTCTCTGTGTGTGTGTGTGTGTATGTATGTGTGTGTGTATTTGTGTGTATGTATATGTGTTTATGTGTCTGTGGGTGTGTATAGGGATTACATTGCTGAGTAAGGTTTATGTGATACAAAAGAAGGCCTGGACCCTTCAAATCATGCTGGACTAGATTACCTTTGCTTACAAATCTACATGTTCTCAGCATATTCCCTTCAAAGAGCTTAGTTGTAGCATTTATGTTTTCTGCAATATCAAGGAAGCAGACACATTTTAGACCCCCGCCTAATATCTGCATAAAGGAGTTCTCCACTGAATAACCAGAATTTTTTCTAAGATGTTATATTTTTGAAAAAATACTTTTATTTCAAAACCTCTGAATGGCTTTGGCTTGCTTTTGAAATAAAATGGTAACTTTTTTTAGTGGATAGTTTCTGAATGATTGTTATGTAGGAGAGCTTTACATATAGGTGTGAAAACAGCCAATTTAACTGCCTACACTTCTGTGTCCCCCAGAGTGATGCCAATTTGTACTGCACTGTGAAGATTCAGAAACAGAGAGAAAAAGCTGGTGCTAAATCTGAGGTAAAAATTGAATTTGATTCCCAAAATGAAATTTGATCACATAGAATTTGTAATCTAGGTTCTGCATCTAGAAAACAGGAATAAATACACAGTCCCTTCATTTTATTGAATTAACACACTAGTTATGATAGTCCCTATTGCTATTCATCTTATAGATTGTAAATTGATTTATTTTTTGCCTTTCCAGCTGGATTTGGAAGTACTCAAAAGAATCTACTAAGAATGTGATATCCCAGTGATCTTGAAAGATACAGAAGAGAATAGGACTGGCTGAAAAACACTCAGAATGCTGTGTCTGATAATTGGGAGTAGAACTTCTGAAGTCTAATGATCCAGGCCAGATTTAAATCTTAACTTTTCATCAGCCTTCAGTGTTTTTAATCCAAGGAATAATTATCTTCCTGTATTTCTATTTCTTAGATCAGAATTTTTAAATGCCAACCTCATTAATTTTCTAAGATTTAAGTTGAAACAATGTACAATGTTGTATATCCTAACTTTCCTACAAGGGGCAGGAAGCAAGGTTATGTGCATGGCCACGTGTTTGTAGGTACATGTGTTGAAATAGGAAGTATCCTAGTATGTATTTAGATAAGAAAAACTTACATACTAGTGTTGACTTTGAAATTATAACATTTATACCTACATATTCTTTGTGTTTATTTTAAAGTTTTGAAAATATACAGGACTATTAATAAAAAAGAACGTGATATCAATTTTATGAAAGCCCTCACCTGAGGATGCTGGGGACTTAGTATAGTGTGCAAGATATTTAATGGTATGAGGCATCATCTATAGCAGTGGTTCCCAACATTTTAAAATATAAGGTACATTTTGGAACTAAGAAAAGCATCACCAGGTATTGTGTGCTGGAAGTTGTACTGTTTTCATCTATTGATTGACGAATAACCTAGTGATAATGCCTATTCTTAGTAATGCTTTAAGTTGTATTTACATGTTATCAATAATGACAGAATCAGCATGTTTTTGTAAAAGTATAAGAGCTATGTATGAGGGGAATGTTATCCATGCCAATCATGCTTGGCCTGCATTCTAAACTTGTAAATCCTTTAATGGCTTGTCACCTACAGACCAAACCGTGCTGACTTAGATTAAAAACATATCATTGATGATAGGAATCTTTTAGTTATTATGAAAATTATTTCTTGACAAAGTCCTGAGAACTTTAAGTAAAACACTTTTTTCAGGGCCTGTGACTGATGCTGGTCTTATTCTCCCCACTGATGTCTCATCTTTTCTTGATGCAAAATTCGACTTCTGGTAATCCCATGTGAATCTAAAGGTTTATCATTGCTGGAATGATACTCTTTACTATGAAGTTGCAATCTGACTGACGTTCTGTTGCACCAAAAAACTGGCTAGGGAAAATATCAGGCCTGATTAATTAACTAGGTAATGTGCTGAACTACAGCCCACTTTGCAATATCTCTAAGATGATGTGATTGCATAAGCTAATGGAAAATAAGTTTATGGGCTCAGAATTAAAAAATAAGATTATTATTTACAAGGACTTCATCACAGAATGTAAGGGAGTGCTCACTAATCAGAGGAAAGGTATCATCATATCCTAGTTCCTAAACACATTAAAATGATAAGCTTACTTCCATTCATGCAAAACCATAGGCCCCTTCTCCAAAAAGCTGGAGATGAGAGGCCTCCAGAGACTTGGATAAAGGCAGCCTGCTTCCTTCCTGTTCTCCTTCTCAGGAGTCAGAGCTGCACAGCTATCTAAAACTCACCCTGCCCACTCCTGCATCTTCCCCTCTTTAACAGGAATTTCCCCAGTAAAATCTTTTCCAGTTCTAGTCCCTTCTGGGCATCTGCTTCTCTAAAGACCAGATCTGCCATACCACGTATAAGCTTGGTTGAGCTACTTAATCCTTTTAAGTATGGGCTATCTTAGCAGAACACAGGTAAGATAATAATATTTAGATGCCCCCCATACCTTTTTTGTTTTTACATAATTTCAGATTTACAGAAAAAGTTGCAAGAATAGTACAAAGAATTTATGAATACCCTCACCCAGGCTCCCTGTATTAACATGGTGTGTGTGTGTGTATTCACAAACACATAATTTTGAACCCATTAAGAAAAAGTTATATACATGACATTCCTTTACTTCTAAATATTTCAGTGTGTGTTTTCTAAAAGTAAAGAATTTTCTTACTTGATAATAATCACAGTATAATGCTTAATCAAAAATTAACATCAAGCTGGGTGTGGTGGCACATGCCTGTAATCCCAGCTACTCGGGAGGCTGAGGCAGGAAAATCGCTTGAAGCAGGGAGTTGGAGGTTGCAGTAAGCTGAGATCGCGCCACTGCACTCCAGCTTGGCAACACAGCAAGACTCCATCTCAAAAAATAAATAAATAAATAAATGAATAAATAAATAACATCAGATGAGATCAGGTGTCTTGAGGGTGGTATGCTGAGCCAGTATAGCCAACACAATCCTAAGCAACAAGAACAAAGCTGGAGGCATCCACCTACCTGACTTCAAACTATACTACAAGGCTACAGTAACCAAAACAGCATGGTACTGGTACCAAAACAGATACATAGACCAATGGAACAGAACAGAGGCCGCAGAAATAACACCACACATCTACAACCATCAGATCTTGGACAAATGTGAAAGAAACAAGCAATGGGGAAAGGATTCCCTATTTAATAAATGGTGCTGGGAAAACTGGCTAGCCATATGCAGAAAACGGAAACTGGACCCCTTCCTTACACCTTATATAAAAATTAACTCAAGATGGATTAAAGATTTAAATGTAAAACCTAAAACCATGAAAACCCTAGAAGAAAACCTAGGCAGTAACATTCAGGACATAGGTATGGGCAAAGTTTTCACAACTAAAACACCAAAAGCAATGGCAACAAAAGCCAAAATAGACAAATGGGGATCTAATTAAACTAAAGAGTTCTGCAGAGCAAAATAAACTATCATCAGAGTAAACAAGCAACCTACAGAATGAGGGAAAATTGTGGCAATCTATCCATCTGACAAAGGGCTAATATCCAGAATCTACAAGGAACTTAAACAAATTTACGAGAAAAAAACAACCCCATCAAAAAGTGGGTGAAGGATATGAACAAACACATCTCAGAAGAAGACATTTATGCAGCCATCAAACATATGAAAAAAAGCTCATCATCACTGGTCATTAGAGAAATGCAAATCAAAACCACAATGAGATCGCCAGTTAGAATGGCAATTATTAAAAAGTCAGGAAACAACAGATGCTGGCGAGGCTGTGGAGAAATAGGAATACTTTTATGCTGTTGGTGGGAGTGTAAATTAGTTCAGACATTGTGGAAGACAGTTTGGCGATTCCTCAAGGATCTGGAACTAGAAATATCATTTGACCCAGCAATCCTATTACTGGGTATATACCCAAAGGTTTATAAATCATTCTATTATAAAGACACATGCACGTGTATATTTATTGCAGCACTATTCACAATAGCAAAGACTTGGAGCCAACCCAAATGCCCATCAATGATAGACTGGATAAAGAAAATATGGCAATATACACCATGAAACACTACGCAGCCATAAAAAAGGATGAGTTCATGTCCTTTGCAGGGACATGGATGAAGCTGGAAATTATCATTCTCAGCAAACTAACATAGGAACAGGAAACCAAACACCACATGTTCTCACTCATAAGCAGGAGTTGAACAATGAGAACACATGAACACAGGGAGGGGAATATCACACACTAGGGCCTGTCAGCGGGGTGGGGGCAAGGGGAGGGAGAGCATTAGGACAAATACCTAATGCATGTGAGGCCTAAAACCTAGACGATGGATTGATAGGTGCAGCAGACCACCATGGCACATGTATACCTATGTAACATACCTGCCCATTCTGCACATGTATCCCAGAACTTAAAGTAAAATTTCAAAAAATGTTAACATCAATTCAGTTCTATTATCTAATAGCCATTGTCTTACCTAGCAATAGAAAGTCCAAGATCAGGCTTTAGAGTTTCCCCTTTTATTTTGCCTGGAGTAATTCTATAAATAATTTAGTAAGTGCTCAGTAAGTGCCAGGTGGGCACTGACAAGACTAAGGTGGGGAACAATGGGTCCCAGTGAATGAGGAGCCTATGTCTACTCTGGGGAAGTAGACACCTGATAACTAGTTTATGATTTAGGCTATAGTGTGATATGTGTGGAGATTCAGTGGGACTCATTCAATATGGAATGTAGGGTCTAACTACAGCATAGAAGGTAGAAATAGCCCAGTTGCAGTTTTACATCCTGCCCCACAACAAATTCAGAGCAGCCAGATTTTGTCTCTTGCACTAGACTAGATTTTTTTCTTTCAGTTAAGCAGCAGACGAAGTAATTATTTTGCTTGTAGGGATCACGTTGTCTAAAAAATAAAATTTAAAATACCAAAATCCATTTTATCTTGGTAAGAGGCTCACTCAATGAGAGGCACATGGAAAAACTGAAACCCTTAAAAGGGATTCGGGCAGGTCCATTGACTCAAGATCTCTCTAGGCATGTGCCCATTGAGGTGTGAATTACCTCCATGGTTTAAATTGTTGATGTACTTTCTGTTAAATATAGAATATGACTCTGAATGACTATTCTCCTTGCTCAGAGGATGGAAAAATGATTAAAACAAAATGCCTACTCTGAATGCAATTAAACCAGGGAAAATAAGACAAGAAAAAAATGATCATAACACAAAATATGACAGAAGTAGTTTCAGAAGAATGATGCATTGCAAAAAAACAAAACAAAACAAAAAAAAACAGTAGGCTCAGCAAAGACTTCGTGGAAGAAGTGACATATAACATGTTCATTAAAAGAAGAAAGATGTTTTCTGGATACGGTAGGGGAGTTACCTTCTGTGAAGGTATTAACATAGGTTGAGAAATAGAGACAGGAAAGCACTAGAGTGAATGGGATATCCAAGTGTAGGCAAGAGGGAGCAGTCCCATTCAGCAAGATCTTCTGGGATTTGAGGTATTTGTGAGAGAATGGTGAAAGGCAAGGTTGTCTTACTTGATTTGTACTGCCACAATAAAATATCCAAGACTGGGTAATTTGTAAACAACAGAAATTTATATTTCAGTTCTGGAGGCTGAAAAGACCAAGATCAAGATGCTAGCAGACCTGGTTGCTGGTGAAGGCTGTCTCTGCTTCCAAGTTGGCCCCTTGAAGACTACTTCCTCTGGAGGGGACAAACACTGTGTCCTCACATGAAGAAAGGATCTGAAGGAGTGAACTCATCCCCTCAAGACTTTTTATAAGGCATTAATCTCATCCATGAGGGTAGAGCCCTCATGGGCCAATTACTTTCTAGGAGGTACACATCTCAGTACTGTTGCACTGGGGATTTAGTTTCAATGTGAATTTTGGAGGGAATGCAAACATTCAAACCATAGCAAGGATGGAGAGAAATTCGGGGCAGACTGTGAAGCACCTTGGAATGTGGTCTCCAGTGAATCTCCTCCTGGTTCTATGGGTGAGTCCTGGGAGCAGTTTGTTTCCCTCCTTACTCTCTTGTATCTTCTCCCTTTCCTGTACTCCCTGCTTTTCCTGCTCTTTTCTCTTGATATATAGAGACCTTTTCAACATAGTTCTTTGCCAGGTTGGACAGACTTTCCTATACTCTCGCTCGCCACACACTCAGCTTTAACCCACTTTGTTAAAGTACAGAGACAAACTTTTTCATGTTTCTAAGTTGTCACAAAACTACCGGGATGAGGGATACTAACACACACACACACAACACAGAGAGGAGTCATGTGGGTCATCTGAGGAATGGGCTGTGCATCAGCTTTGGTCTGTTGTCTCCCAACAGTGCATCTTGATGAGATAAGTATATGAAGCTCTGATTAGGTTTAATGTTTTAGTCAAATGAGCTGTTTACCTCCACTAGATGACTTGGATGAATATGTTAGAAACTTTGGGTTTGCAGGGGTGCTTTCTTCCTGAGAATGGCAAATTAAGGCTGCTCTGAAAAGTTACCCTAGTTTTGTTTTCTTGTTAGGAACATTCAAATGAGCATGAAGAAAGAGCAAATACTTACCAGCGGTAATTTAAAAAAAAAAAAATATATATATATATAAATAAAATTAGCTTTATTGC